TTTGGAGGGGGTTTTGAGGGGATTTTGGGAAATTTTTGGGGGGATTTTGGAGGGGTTTTGGGGGAATTTTGGGAATTTTTGGGAATTTTTTTGAGGGATTTTGGGGGGATTTGGGGTGGATTTTGGGGGGATTTTGGGAAATTTTTGGGGGATTTTGGGGGGAATTTGGGGCATTTTGAGGGAGATTTAGTGGATTTGCGGTTTTTGGAAAATTTGGGGTCTTGGGTTGGAAGCCTGGGGCTCCCAGTCCCTCCCAGTCCCTCCCAGTCCCTCCCAGTCCCTCCCAGTCCCTCCCAGTCCATCCCAGTCCCTCCCAGTCCCTCCCAGACCATTCCCAGTCCATCCCAGTGCCTCACAGTCCCTCCTGGACCATTCCCAGTCCCTCCTGGACCATTCCCAGTCCCTCCCAGTCCCTCCCAGTCCCTCCCAGTCCATCCCAGTTCCTCCCAGTCCATCCCAGTCCCTCCCAGTCCATCCCAGTTCCATCCCAGTCTCTCCCAGTCCGTCCCAGTTCCCTCCCAATCCCCTCTCAGTCCCTCCCAATTTATCCCAATCCCCTCCCAGTCCCTCCCAGTCCCTCCCAGTCCCTCCCAGTGCTCCCAGTGACCCCAGTTCCCCAGGGAAGTACGTGGGCAGCCGGCCCATCAAGCTGCGCAAGAGCCAGTGGAAGGATCGGAACCTGGAGGTGGTGAGGCGCAAACAGCGCGAGAAGAAGAAACTGGGCCTGAGATAACCCCGAACTGGGACGGACTGGGACGGACTGGGAGGGACCGGGAGGGACCGGGACGGCAATAAAGGAGATTTTAGGGCTGCACGGAGGAGTCGGGGCGTGACTGGGAGGGACTGGGATGAACTGGGAGGGACTGGGAGGGGACTGGGAGGGGATTGGGAGGGGATTAGAACAACCTGGGAGGAACTGGGGTGAACTGGGAGGGACTGGGATGGAACTGGGATGAACTGGGAGAGGACTGGGAGAGACTGAAGGGAACTGGGAGGGATTGGAAGGAGACTGGGATGAACTGGGAAAGGTTTGGGGGGTGGACTGGGGTTCACTGGGGGTAACTGGGATGGACTGTGATGAACTCGGAATGGACTGGGGTTCACTGGAAGGGACTGGGATGGACTGGGAGGGAACTGGGATGGATTGGGAGGGACTGGGAGAGACTGGGAGGGAACTGGGATGAGACTGAGACAAACTGGGATGAACTGGGATGAATTGGGAGGGGATTGGGACAAACTGGGAGAGACTGGGAGGGACTGGGGGAAACTGGGAGAGGACGGGGTGGACTGGGATGAACTGGGACGGACTGGGAGTGGACTGGGAGGAACTGGGATGGACTGGGAAAAACTGGGAATGGACTGGGGCTCACTGGAAGGGACTGGAATGGACTGGGAGGGGATTGGGCCAAACTGGGACGAACTGGGATATACTGGGATGGACTGGGAGCGTATTGGGAAGGAACTGGGACGAACTGGGACGGACTGGGCTGGGATGGGGAGGTAACTGGTTTGAACTGGTTTGAACTGGGAAGGAGGGCTGTGCTTCATTCTCCGTTTATTTCCGGTTGATTTCGGGGGAGGGGGGCGGGGCTTATCCC